CAATCTCATCAAACACGTTCAGTTATATTTTGGTATTTATAGGTAGGGTATAAAACAAATGGGTTATGAAAAAAGCCTTTAAAAAGTGAAATAAAAATTTCTCGAATAAACCGTCGCCTGAGCGAGGGCTCAGTGACAGTCCCCGCGACTGTCGCTCGAGCGAAGGTAGGATGACAGTCAGGCGATGGAGTTTCTGCGTTTGCAACTCAAGCCAAACCTTGGCGACAGTCTAGCGAAAATCCGCGCCGTTTTCCTCTTTTTGTCATTCTTGAACTCTAGAGCTAAAAACCCTATTTTCAACGTATTTGCACATTACTCTTTGAACTTTTACAATATGTCAATTTCAGTCATTTTGTTCACCGAATCGTCAATCACAAATAATCTAAAACCTAACAAATAAGTTAGATGCTTTTGACAATAATATCTCTACGCATTTGTGACAATGGCTTAACACAGAGCTTCTCACAAACTCCTCGAAATGTCAATTTTTTTTTTCCACTCGTTGTACGACAATGATTATGCTCTTTAACACTTGGTCTCTAGGGTTCTCTTCCTTTGTTGAGTTCTACTTGCACGCTTTCATCAATTGCCATTTTTTGTTTTTTAACCTTCTTTCCAATTCAAGCCAATTAGTCATACAAACCATATGCTTTTTATTTGTTCCACGATTTCTAATAGACCGACTCATGTTATGTCAATCTTTATACCTTCATTGCCAATATAGAAAATACTTATCTGACTTTTCCAACATTGTAAAACACATAAAAAAAACTTAAATTGCTAACTTTTTATAATAATAAGTGTTGATCGAATAAAAATTACAAATAATCAATTTAGATAACTTTTATTCTGTAGCTAAAAATAAATTTCTTATTCACTTAAGGTTGAGGTAATTGTGCAACTTAAAATTGTTAAGAATGTATGTTTAATTTTATTAATGTCTATTGTTGCAGATTTTCCTTCTCTTTTTTCGAGAGGCTTCATAAAAGAGAGTAATCTATAAATATAATTACTAAAAAATATAATTTTGTCTAAAAAATGGAAAAAAAATGTATCTAGTGAAAGACTCGAGTGAAATTTAAAATGATAATTTTCTAAATTTTGTATAGTAGAAATAGATTTTGTAATTGGATCACTTCTGTCAATGGCATCTAGTGTTTAGTGTGGATGGGAATAAATTGTAAACCTTCTTGTCGTGTGACACCTTTAAATTGTAATATTTTTAATGCTGTGTTAGTATTTAAAAATACTAAATTTCAAAATAATTAACATTTCTTGTTTACCTCATCGATCTTGCTTTCAATTGGCTTTATTGATTGGATTCTGATCAATAGCCCAAGGGCATGGAGCACATCTTTTGTTCTTTCCACT